TTTATTGAAAGACTGCAGGTAGGAGATAGAAAACAAAATTTCATGTAGTAACCTGGGACTATTCAATATCCTACATTTACCCATTGTTAAAAACAATATAGAGATTTGAATCTGGATATAAAACTCAATCCTCTCAGCAGTCAATGTCAAGATTTGAGATCTAGGCCAGGACTTTCAAGGTGAAGATGAGAATCCACCCTTGGGCTATGTTGCTTTGTTCTATTCTCCAGGACACATTGCTGTGATTTTTCTCCATGCAACTAGCATAAAAAGACACAAGATGAATACAGGGTCAGTCAGGAAGAAAAAGATTTCGCTGGCTGGAGTCATACCATGATCTTGTCTGAGTCATCGGATTGTGAGAAATATTACCCCCAAAATTTCTGCACGAGATGAACATATGATAGGTAGAGATCAATTTAAGATGATGATACGCCTTGTCTGGTCTTACCTGCTTGTCACACAAATCCCCAAATAATGTTATTTCTCTCAGAATTCTCCTACCAATAAAAGGAACAAAACTAATGTGTGCATTAGCCAAGGTTAATACTCGAGCTATATTTAGCAATCTAAGAGTCAAAAAAGCTTTCAATTTTCTAACAGAATCCTTTTGTGAGGAATAACTTTATAAAATGCCAAAGCACAGCTGTGCAGAGGGCACAGAGAGAGTTCTAACTACGACCTCAAGGCCAGCCTCGGGGAGCAATCAGAACAATGATGCCATCCTGGAGTGAATGAAAAAAGAGAACAAAATAGGCAAAAGCAATGTCCTCTCAGTATCCAGCCTATCTGAGCTCTCCCTGCTATTAATATTTCCATCCACCTCAGTTCATCTAAAGACACAGCATGTGTCTTCAAATCCCATTTACCTGTCATAACTTGTTATAGATTAATCTTCCCTTGTGTCCAGCTTCTAGCTTTGTGTGTTTATTCTCCCTCTACAGTCAACAAGTCTATGTGATGGGGTCCTTAGAGATCACACAGCTCACAACTCACTTCTCAATTTACAAATGAGAAGAGCAAACAAGAGCCAGCAAAGGGAACGAGTTTGTCCAGAGCCACATGCTCTTATCAGAACTAAGTGAATTTTGGGGACTAGGCTCATTATGTAGTGCTCTATTTGTGCCAATTGTCTCTGTTTGATATAAAGAATATTCTTGCTTCAAGAGGGTCCTCTTCAGAGTACAGTTGTTTAGTGAATTTCCGCAAGCTGTACATATCTTGTGCCTATGGTCACAGAAGATTGGATATATTCAATTTTAATTACTTATTAGCATGTGAAATGTAAACTTCTTTATATTATAGTCATAAAGAAGGAAGAGTTTGGCATATGATGACAGATATTTGTTTCAGTCCACCAAGCATAGGCTGTGTCCAGGGCTAGGATCAGAAATTAATTTCAGCTAATCTCAAGACACTTTTCATTGTCATAACTAAGGATGTCACCTGGTGCCTTGGTTCCTTAAGTCATCATTAAAATCACCTCAGCCTTTAATTTGATGATAGGTTATGAAAGCTGGTTTAAGAGATGTATTGATAGTAATACACAGTTTAAAAATAAATGCAGTAAGTGTACAGATTTATAAAATGTGGTAAAGATGTGAATGTGGGTTTAATCAACCAATGTTTTAATAAATGGACCAGGAATTTTGAAAAATGTTATCACATCAAAGAACATATAATACTGAAATGTTTTAAAAGTATAAGATACTTGATTTATGTGTTATTTCAATTTTATATCAATCCAGCTGAAAGATCTATTTGAGCTCCTGGTTACCCGTCATTTGCAGTCAATTTTTTAAATATAACTAAGTTCTGAGCTAAATAGTTTACCTTTTCAAAGATTAATAATTTTCTCCGTATGAAAAAAATATTAATGTATTGCTAATAACATTTCTTCTATTGTTGATACCTTTGAACTTGGGAATTGAAATGAGAGTCATTTGGTCTATTTCCTAACCAAGCCAGAAATTTTCCACCTCTTTCCTATCATGATTTGTCCATGTCAGAAAATTAACTCTTTATCGGTAATCTATAAACTGATGAAAAATCTGCAAGAAAGTTTCCTCCAGATTCTGCCATTTAGTGCTTTATTTCCTACCTAAATACTGGTCCTCTATAATTGTATATAGTGGAACTTATCCTAAATAATACTACATTCTAATATTAGAGACAAAACGTCATGGTAAAATTTCTTAATTTTTTAAATAAGTATGTTCAAATGTTGCCTCTGTCCTACCACTTAATTGTCTATGGAACTTTGAACAAATCATCTGAGTCTTGATTTGTTTAAATGTTTGGAGTCATTGTAATACTTAAATAGGTTCATACATATAAAGCATCTAGCACAAAAACTCATGCCATCAGGTAGTTAATGGATGCACTCTGTGCCATTACCTGTGCTGGTGCAGTGAGTTTAAAAGATATTCTGGGGCCTCCCCGGTGGCATAGCAGGTTGAGCGCAGCTCTATGAAGCTGTCCAGAGCCTCTGCAGCGTGGGTTTGATTCCCGGCTGGCCAGGGAGAAACCCACATGGCTCAGCAGACCTCTCCTGTCTCGCCCGCTGCTCCCCACAGCAGTGTCTTCAGTCCGTCTGCCTGTTCTGTTCCCCACTCTGTCTCTGGTGAATCCTCCCACCCTACACGACTCTGGCCTGTACCCCAGCTCTTGTATAAATGAAAATAAATCTTAAAAAAAAAAAAAGAAATATGTCTTTCCTTCATTGCTAACAATGTTCAGCTAGGAAGTGAAATTGCCATACTAGCAAACCATTGGACAAGAGATTCTGAAGAGAGCTATCAAGATAGAAGATCAGGTACTTCCCCAAAGATCACTGCAGAGCTCTGGAACAGCAGAATCTCCAGAAGCACCTACAGAGGCTTCTGATAAGCACAAGATTCCTTATCTGCCCCAACAATCCCATCTAAGGCTGGGATTTTTTCTCAGCTAGGTAAAGATCTGATACAAAATAATCATCACTTCACCAATGGGCTTACTCCTGCCAGGAAGTGCAACAAAATAATCACTCCAAAGGAACCTCCAATTGATATATAAAAGCAAGTATGTGTGTGTCTGTGTGAGGGGAGGGGTGAAGTCACCAGATACTTTTTAATTAGCCCCAGAAGCCTCCTTGCATCTTCCTCACCTCTCTACCTGAAAGTACAATTAACTACATATGCCTACCTCTCATTTTCCTTGCAGGGATATTTGTATTTTCAAAATGTTTGGTCCTAACTCCATCTACTCTGAACCCAGTCTTTAATTTGCATTTTCAAATGTTCCATTTCAGATAAGAAAGGCATAAAGTAGTTAATAATCTACTCTTTAAATAGGTGAAGCCCTGTTGAGTTAAAGCTTATAAATTCAGACACACACACACAATCAGCTATAAGTAATGCCAAAATTATGACTCCAGTCTTAAACATTTTATACTGTACTTGAAACAGAAGTGATTTTAACCAGTTCTGAATTTCAGAAGGGTAAAAGATTAATAATTCAATGTTTTACTGATGTTCCAGACCAGAAAGTACCCCCTTTCTACTCATTTTCAATGATGTCTGACCTAGGTTTATAGTGCTGGTAACGAATTTCAGAATTAGAAAGTTTTAACCCTAGGCTTTTTTTTTTTTTTTTAAAGATTTATTTATTTATTTATACAAGCACTGGGTACAGTCAGAAGCACGGGAGGGTGTGAGAATTCACCAGAACCAGAGCGGGGAGCAGAGCAGGCAGAAGGACCGAAGTACACTGCTGAGGGGAGCAGCGGGCGGCAGGAGAGGTCTGCGTGCCATGTGGGACCCTCCTCCGGTGTCCGGGGAGCAGCCGGGGATCGAACCAGCGCTGCAGAGGCTGCAGGCAGCTTCGCAACCCAGCGCTCAACCGCTGCGCCACCTAGGCTTTTAAAATAAAGTTTAAATTAAGAATTTGTGAAGTATTCTTCTCTGGTACTACAGGTAGCAAAAAAAAAAATATGTCAAGAGGATCACTGAAAGTAGGTTCTTTGTATACTGATGCAATGTGTTGCAAACACAATTTTTTAAATATTGTAAATGTTATTAATTGTATTTGTGATGCTAACTAAGACAGCTATGGCAATTTACAGTTGACTTTTAAGAGAAACAATGCCTTTGAATATGCTTGCTACTTTAGTGGATTATAACTTTTTTCTTTTAACCTAGGCAGTTTAACAAAATGATCACAGTATACAAAATTTTAACAGATTTCACCAGGTGCATATTTATCAGCTCTAGGGGCTATTATTCTTTGGAATGACTTGAAAACAGATAGCATAAAACAGATAGCATCCCCCAAAGAGACACATCAACTGGAGTAGTTTAAATGCATGGAAATAATTTAGTATACCAATTTGAGTATTTTGACTTTGATGAATTGGGCTAAATTCACTTCTGCTAAAAGAATTAAGTGTTGACTCATTTCACTAGAAAGTCCAGTGGGAGTGGATTTGAGAATGGGGGAGGCTGCTATCTGGAGGTTCATGTTTATTCTTCATTTCCCCATAGTTATCACCCAATCTAAGTTTCATCCTAAGGTTGTTCTAGTCGTGATTACATGACAGCTGTTAGAGCTACAGTGGTCAAGTGCTGCTTCTTCCATAGGCACAGAGCATGCTTATGTCCAATATTCCAAGCTAGAATCCTGTGTATGACCCTGATTGGAGAGGCTTATATCACATGTCAATCCCTAATTAATGATGGTGGTGAGGGAGATGGTTGTGTCCCTTGGTTCATACCAATCAGGATGTGCTTATGGTACTAGTGATGAAGTCATTTCCAGAAAAGGACATAGGTTATGTGGAGGATAGGCAGATACTGGTAGGAAAAGTAGGGAAAGGGAAAATGAAAACCGCATGTTCACTACATGGATTATTTGATCCGAGAGACAACAGCAAACCCAAAGCAATACTTTTCTGAAAATTACTGGTATTATTACAAATAAGAAAATAATTTCCAGTTTAAAAACTAACAATAACAACACAATTCCAAGGCCAGTACTTTTCTTTTATTATCATTATTTCTGTGTTTGACGTAAGATGGTTGAATGATTTCATTTTCATTTATAAACATTACATTAATTCCCATGCAAAAACCCAAGACAGCATATGTCTAAATTTAATTGGCCAAAATCTTACCTGGGAGTCTGGACATTCAAAACCAAAACCAAAATGTTGCTTGGCCTTTCCAATAATAGACATCATGGTCATCCATTGAGAGATTGGCACATCCCCTAACCTCTCAAACACCACCTGGTGCCATGAGTCTATACCAAAACAGGGAGCCAATGCCTTGTGGCACCTGGACTGGCAAATAATTTCATTCATGGACACAGGACACCTCTACACCAAGGCTGCCACCCAGTCTTCCTGGTTCCTGCTCTATAGCAAAATCTCTTTTTGAATAGGTCTGGTATCTTCTATTTGGGGATTATAAATCCTCCCTGCCAATTTTCCTCAAAACTTTCAGTAGAAGCAAAGAGACTTTACAAACAAGCCGATTTCTATAACCCCAAAAGAAACACATACAAAGACACCAACTTTATCAAGGAGGTATTTTCCCCAGCTTCAGATAAAGTCTCTTAGCAGGTATAAAGCTTTAAACACTTCTCCCAGTAAGACAGGAACCAGGAATATCAAGGAGGGCAAAACAGGACCCCACAATTAAAGGAGAACTAAATAAATGCAAAGAATTGTTCAGTTGATTGAGAGGGTGGGCTAAATGAAAAATGACATTTCAACAGTGGGTGTCAATTTGTATTGAAACACACACATTAGAACTCTGATAATGGTAAAGATTTCATTAGTGCAAATAACAATTATAATGGTATGTTCTTTAATAAGATTTAAATAAGGCTTCAAATAATTACACACATTAAATCTACCATTTGGAAACCTTAATTCTGTTTGGAAAGTTGTCAGACACACCCTCCAAACCATCTAAAGTTCTGATTTGAGGACAATTACATTCAATGAAGTTGCTCCAAAACACAAATTGGTAGCATTCTCACTTGCAAAGTCTACATCGTTTGCTAGACAGGGGAAAACTACTCAGGCCACTGGTCATAAGAAAGACATCCAGCTAACACACCAGGTAGTTCCCAGGTTCAGGTGACTCTCAAATACCTGTAGAGATGAAAGCTTATTAAAAAAAAAATAAAAAAAAAAAGTAATATCCTCCTTAGTGTCAGAAAGAGATTGTTTCCCCATCCCCAATAACAAGTTTGCTCAAAATATGAAACAGAAAAAAGAAGAGAATTCATGGACATTTTGATCTATGGCTCAAGTTCTCCTTAAACTGAAAAACAAGCAAACAACAACAACAAAAAAAACCCCAACAAACCATGTGACAATAACCACAAAAAGTAAACAACAAAATCCGCGGCAGAATATGAAATAGTAATATACTGTTTCAGAGCCTGCGCCATCCTGCAGAACCAGGAAACTTAAAATGTGTTCTTAACAGATCCAATCGAGGCTGGATATGTAAAAAACGGAAAGACAGCATCACAAACCACACTACACAAGAGAGTTTCAGGGTGGGGAGGGGGAGATGAGACAGCAAACGCTCAGAAAAATTTATCATCAATTCTGAAATGGGGCCTGGTGACATCATCGGGGTTAATAAAGACAGAGATGGACTTTCCCGGGTTCTCAGTCACTAGCTGCTGCAGTTTTTTGGCCAAACGGTCATCGGGCTGGTTGGGGTCCCCGCCGTCCGACTGCGGGGAGGGGATGCTGGTGGTGCTCCCTCGCCTCTGGAGCTCCAGCGTCAGCCGGTTGGCAGCCTTGACGTGCTCAATGGCGGTGCGTAAGTGCTCCGCGGGGTCTGAGCGGACGGAGGAGAGCTTCCGCGCGTGGAGCATGACCGTCTCCTCCGACAGGTGCTCCAGCATGTTGCACTGAGGGATGAAATAATTGGGGCACATCTTGTTGACCAGACAGTGCTGCAGGTCATCAATGAGGCCCAGTAAAAAATGGGCTGCATAGTCTTCTTGAGCCAGGTAATTGGCAGGCAGTCTGTCGCAGGCCCAGAGCATCATGCTCCGCAGGTGGTAGGGGCTAATGGCCTTGGGCCGCGACAGGAGTTTGATGATGATGGCTTTGCAGGCCTGGTAGGCCTGCATGAGGCTGCTGGAGATGCACTTCTTCAACTGCACCTCGCTCCTGGCAAAGGACAGTCGCCATTCATTGTCCTTCTTCCCCTTGTAGGAGCAGGCAGGCACCAAGTAAAACCCACTGATGACCTCTTCCTCGGTGATCTTCCCGTCCCAAAAGTGGTTCTCCATGAGCCAGCTCTGGGCCACTGCCGGCCAACCTTTGAAAGACACCACAGGGACAATGTCGTACAACATGCGACTGCTCCCCACGCCCAGAATGATGGAGATGATGGTCCCATTCTTTTCCACCTTTTCCACCTTTGGCATGCCTCGCTGGGGCTTCTTCTGTATCTCCGAGAGGACGATGCTGATGGAGTCATAGAACCAGCCGGCTACTTTGGTTGGGGAGAAGAAGTAGTTGGTGGCGCCGTTGATGTGATCCACAATGGTGCAGCAGTCTTTCCATTTACTGATTGTGCCCTCGTCAAAGAGCCGCAGGCTCAGCCAAGAGTGGCACAAGGCTGAGTGGCGCATGTCCAGGGTCACAGGCTGGTTACGGTCATGCAGCTTAAGGGCTGGCACCAGGAGGGTGAAGTCCATGTCATAGTCGGTCCCCCGGGCATAGACGTTAAGCTCATCCAAGTCCAGGTCCACCACACCTTCCCGGACTCCTCCCGAGAGCAACAGGTACTCGTTGGCTACTGGAAGTTTTTGGTCCAGCTTTTGCACCATTCCTAGGAACGGAAAGAGAAAGCACTGACATAAAGAGCAGAAACACCAGAGGCTCAAGCATCCGTATAGGATGTACTGACTTTCCAAGAGACACTATTCATTCTCAGTTCAAAATCACATCTCAGACTGCTGCCCACGCCCAGCCAATTTCTCTGTGTCCTTTCCTGTCAGTGCCAGAATCCACCCTTTTCCAAGGGGAACAATTAAAATAGATGTTTCCCTCATGGTGAAAGCAGTATCATTTTTTAATCATAACCCAGCTTTCCTTTTCTAGTCATCACCTTGGTTAAGAGCATTACCATCCATACCGCCACCCTGGCCAAGACTTCAACAAGCTTCAACATTTCCTTGCCTTTCCACTGACAGATCTTATCTATGTAACCTCTGCAGCTTTCCTCAACCCTTTCCTCTCCTCCCTCTCTACAGCCATCATAGAAAGCCAGGCTCTTTTCCTCTCTTGCCAAAGCATTCGTCCTCCCCCAGAATCTCCATGCTTAAACCTTCTTCTTTTCTATTTATTTATTTGTTTGTTTGTTTGTTTGTTTATACAAGCACTGGGTACAGTCAGAAGTGCGGGAGGGTGAGAGAATTCATCACCAGAGCCAGAGCGGGGAGCAGAGCAGGCAGAAGGACCGAAGTACACTGCTGAGGGGAGCAGCGGGGTGGGGGGGCAGGAGAGGTCTGCGCGCCATGTGGGACCCTCCTCCGTGTCCAGGGAACAGCCGGGGATCTAACCGGAGCTGCAGAGGCTGCAGGCAGCTTCACAACCCAGCGCTCAACTGCTGCGCCACTGGGGAGGCCCTTAAACCTTCTTCTTCCCCAGTGATTCTTAATGTGGCTTGTGGACAGGAAGCAGTGAGGTCATAACTCTTTTCATAATCACACTAATATGTTATTTACCTTTTCCACTGTGTTGACACTTGATCTGACACTCAGTGGTACAAAGAAATATAGGGACTTCCATGGTGGTGCAGGGGTTAAAGTCTCAGCACTATCAAGCTGTCATCAGTCACTGCAGCATGAGTTTGATCTTTGGCCAAGGAGCAACCCATGTGGCACAACAGACCTCTCCTGTCTCACCCTGCTGCTCCCCTCAGCAGTATATTTTAGTAGATCAACCTGTTCTTCTCCCTACTCTGTCTCTGGTGAGTCCTCTCACCTGCCCCTGCCTGCACACCTGGCCTACGTTGCAGTTCTTGTATGCATAAATAAAAATAAATCTTTATATATATGGTCAAACTGCTGGAGCCTTAGCCTTGGCATCATGTGGTACTAGCTGTCATTGCATTGATTTCTACTGACATGCACCAGCATTTAAATATTCAGTTTCGGGCCTCCCCTGGTGGTGGAGCAGTTTAGCGCTGGGCTGCAAAGCTGCCCGCAGCCTCTGCAGTGCCGGTTCGATCCCCGGCCGCTGGCGAGGGACCCACATGGCATGACAGACCTCTCCTGCTGCACCCACTGCTCCCCTCAGCAGTGTATTTTGTCTGCCTGTTCTGTTCCCCGCTCTGGCTCTGGTGAATCTTCTCACCCTCCCGTGCTTCTGACTGTATCCAGTGCTTGCATAAATAAAAAATCTTTAAAAAAAATAAAATAAAAAATAAAAATTCAGTTTCACTTCAGAAAATCCTTGATGGGAAATAAGTGGAAAAGAAAAATGGATTAATCTTACTGAATCCTAACAATAATTTAACACTTTTTATCCCCAACCACTTTTCTAATAATGTGTGCAATGGAATGAAAAGGTAATCATAAAGCCTGCTTATACTGAAATACAAAAGCTGTCCTCAAGGAAAACACTCATGTGATTGAGTTGAGGGCTAACTTAGCTGTTTCTTCTTTAAACAGCAACTGATAAACTATGGCTACTCACACTTTAGTATTTTATATTTTCTTTAAATGTGAGCCAATGGAGCCTGTCTTCAAGAAGACAGTTAACAATATTTATTCCCAATAATATAAGTGGAGCTCAAGAAAAAATTAAATTTTAGAGAACTCATCTCCTGTACCATGAGCTTAACACCCTCCTGGATTTTATACCTTTCTGATCAAATGGTGATGATATTATGTGATTTTTTTATGAGATTGTGAGATCTCTGAGAGTGACAACCACGTCTCAAGCAGGTGCTAAGCAGACACAGTAGTGTGTACTCAGTAGGCATACAATTGAAGCTATGAAAGAATGAAGAGATGGAATTAACGAGGTTGAAATAGACTGCTTAAGACAATGTAAATGGTCCATGAATATAAAATTTTACCTTCCCTGCCTCTTGTCCTTTCATTATATGTTCATTGTTTTATTATCTGACAAACTACCAGCATTACTCTTTCTGACTTATTTCACAATTTCCCTCCAAAGATCACAAAGAACCATGATTCCATTATTCACTGCAAGTACTTTCAGTCAACATAGTTTGTTATTCACAGAACAATCCCATGCAAATAAATAAATGATGTTTATGTGTTTGTACTATTTATATACTTCAGAATTTAACACTCATGTATAAAAATTCTTTAAAATCCTATTTTCCAAACAATACTACTCATGATAAAATCTTTTATTTAGTAGCATTTCCTTCCATACAGATGGGAATATAGCAGGCTATCACCTTTGTTTTAAGGTTATCAATAAGTTATTCGAAGTTAAATTCATCAGCATGAGAATCCAGCATACCTGACAGCTTGAGCTGTTTCTAATACTACCTGTACCATCTGCATCCCTCTTCCATTGAGAGCTTCTTATCTCAGCTGCTAGCAGTGCTGTTAGCACAATGCCTTAAGGAAGCTCTTGGCTGCAAACAGACACCTCAGCCAGGCCATATCCTATGGTCAGGTTGGTGGGGTGGAGGAAGGTACACACCCTACAGCTGGTAAATTTGGAATGCCCTAGTATGGGGTACTCTGAAAAATCATTTGAATACAGGGTTCCCAGTAGGGTCAGTTCAGCTGAGACTGACGCTGAGCCTTCAAGGAACCCTGACTTCTCCCTTTATTTGACCCTGCTTCTCCCCATCCCTTCCATCTGTGCTAATCCCAAGGTACTCTTTAATAAATATCCTTACTCCACTGCAGGAAACTTTTCCTAACGAACCCCCATCTAATGCAGTCTTCACTACAAATATGACATGGAAAATTGGCTTTGCTTTTTAACAGCCAAATTGAGCAACCATGGACGTTATCATAAGCACAAAGACAAAGATTCATTTCTGTATTGTCACATTTCATTATTAACTTTTTCTTTACAAAACAATAAACACTACTATCCCAAGTTTTCACTGTGCCTACAAAAGGATCAGAATGACTTCTCAGAATCCAGAGTGAGTTGTTGAAAACATTTTCACTATTTTATACATCCATATATAGGTCCAGTGACATTCACAGAGAAATAATTGATAATGAAATATTTCACGCATCATGATTTCAAATGCTATAAATATGCATGGGAAAATTAAGGTGCTGTGGGGAGATGAGTAAAGAAGACCTGAATCAACTAGATGGGTACTGTTATTGGTTACCAAGCTGCTGTGCCCTCTGAGGCACAAATAATTCAGACTTCTATACATCCTTCTGTCCTAGGCAGAATCTGAGCATACTAGCAAGGACTGTCTATGCAACCAGAACAAATTGTGCATTAACAGTATGGGAATAATTTGTTGATAAAAGTGCCACTAAATTTTGCCTGTGATTGTCCCAATGTTTTTGGATAGTCATAGGTATTTGGATAGCCATAGCTAAAACTCCCTCCTGCCCTCTGCTGGATTAAAGGATTTTTTTTTATAACTTTTTTTTTTTTTTAAGATTTCTTTTATTTATTTTATACAAGCACTGGATACAGTCAGAAGCGCAGGAGGGTGACAGAATTCACCAGAGCCAGAGCGGGGAGCAGAACAGGCAGAAGGACAGAAGTACACTGCTGAGGGGAGCAGCGGGCGGCAGGAGAGGTCTGCGCGCCATGTGGGACCCTCCTCCCGTGGCCGGGGAGCAGCCGGGGATCGAACCGGCGCTGCAGAGGGTGCGGGTAGCTTCACAACCCAGCGCTCAACCGCTGCGCCACTGGGGAGGCCCTGGATTAAAGGCGTTTTAATGAATTTTTGCTTATGTGTATGTATGTGTATCTACACATACACATACATACACGTACATAGCGCGCGCACACACACACAGAAATTCCTCTTTTCCTCTTTCCTCTCGTTTGGAACTTAATTCATTTACTTGGTCCTTCTTTCCAAAGATGCATCTAAAGTATTTGGCTACATTCCAATATTCAGGAATTAGGGTAATTTTTGTCACTTCTTATTCCTTTAAAGTACACAGAGAACTTCAGGCAGAGATAATACTGCCCAGGCTCATTTGCCAAGCTCCTAGAAGTTAGAAACAAAGTCCCTAAGGCTACAGTGTTCCAGTAAACTAATCCCTTGTGATATCCACATTTACATACAGCCTGCCTGAGCCCATTAGCCTGCAGTTTTAGAAATGATTTGGTATCAGGAACTGGAGTCTTCCCCAGCATTATACCAACTCAAATGTACTCCTTGAAAACTTTCCTGGGCTAAGTTTAAGTGAAAATGAGCTGACATCAGCTATCATGGCAGATGGGTTGCCAAGCAACTAAAACAGTCAGGGGCTGAGAGGGAAAAAGACAGAGGAGGGGAAAATAATTCAACTGTACACTTTGGCTGTAGCATCCAGTTCCAACAAGTGCCATCTCTGAATTGATACAAGGATTTTTGTGCAATTCCAGGAGGGTAAGAAGAAGTGACTCTGGCTGTGTGGCTCTTACTAAGCCATCCGAAGTCATGAGTGGGAACAAAATGTGCATACACAACTAAGATTGTTAGCAGCAAAGCAAAGGAGGAAGAGATAGCTTATTCCCCTGGGTGGATCCCTTTTTCTCATGGAAGCACTAACATATGTTAGCTCTTCAAAACACAAAGTAAAAAAAAAAAAAAAAAAAAAAAAAAACTGCTCCACAGTCTTCTTTCCTGAAACTGATTCCTTGATT